AAGAGCGCAATTATGGTGCCAACTTGGGCCAGTGAAGCAACATCCTCCACAACTAGACTGAAGAACAAAAGAACAGAAACTTGTCTGTTCCCCTTCCCCCAATTCCCCAGTGCTGTTCCCATCCCCCCAATTCCCCGATTAAAAAAAAAAAGGTTAACTTTATTTAAAAAAAAAAAGAAGAAGTTTGGTGATGTTTTGTGATGAGAAATATGTTAAAGGAACTTAACTTTAGTTTATATCAATTAGCCTATGATAAAACTGATTTTCTTCTACATCATTGGGCTTAAAGTTACAGTTTCCAAGGACCTATTGATGACAAGTGAGGACTTACTGTATGCGGAATCTAAAGAAATGAAACTCATAGAGTGATCATTGCCAGGGGTTGGGGGTGGTGGGAAATGGGGAGATATTGGTCAAAGGTACAAACTTTCAGTTATAAGATAAACAAGTGTGGGGATCTAATGTACAGCTTATAACTATTAATGCTGAATGAAATATACTTAAATGTTGTTAAGAGAGTATATCTTAAATGTTCTCACCACAAAAAAGAAATGGTAACGATGATGTGAGAGGATGGAGCTGGTAGCTAATGTTGTGGTGGCAATCATTTTGCAACACATAAATATATCAAGTCATTAAACTGTACACCTTAAGCTGACACAGTGTTATATGTCAACTGCATCTCAGTAAAGGTGGAAAAAAATGTTTTTCCTCTGTGGTCCATTAATGTAATATGTTACCTCTAAAATGCACCCATTAATCAGTAAAGCAACATTCTCTCCCATAAAAATATATTAATGTATCCACCTTTGTGTCCCTCTTGGGGCATTTGAATGTGTCACAACTATTTACATGTGTCACCCAGAGTAACGCAGCTTAGCTGCTCCCTTACCTGTCATAGCTTTCATCAAGGTATGGATGCAAGTGGTTTTCCCTGCCCCACTCGGCCCCAGGGTCATCATTCCATGCCGAACTCTCTGTGTTTCAAACAGCTGGATGACTTTCAGTCTCCAAGGAGGATGGTTGATTAAACCAGCTTCCTCAACCTGAAAACACAACAAAACGCCCACATTGGGCTATCTCATTGTGCTCAAAATAAGCACAGACATGGAGCTGGGGCAGGGGTAGAGGAATAGAGGATTATTGTTTAATTGGTATGGAGTTTCCGTCTGGGAAGATGACTAAAGTTCTGAAGCTGGATGGTGGTGATGCTTGCACAATAACGTGACTGTACATAATGCCACTCCACTGTCCACTTAAAACGACTAACAGGGCCAGCCAAGTGGCTCAATTGGTTAAGAGCACGAACTCTGAGCAACAGAGTCACCGGTTTGATTCCCACATGGGCCAGTGAGTTGCGCCCGAGCTAAGCTGCCGCTGAGGTGGTGAGAACGTGTGCTCTTAGCAGCAAGGTTGCGGGTTTGACTCCTGCATGGGATGGTGGACTGTGCCCACCCGCAACTATGATTGAATATGGCACTTTGAGCTGAGCAGCCGCGAGCTACCAACAGGTGGCCAGATGGCTCAGTGTACCACAAGGTTGCCAGTTCGACTCCCACATAGGATGGTGGACTACACCCACCCACAACTAAGAATGAAAGTGGCGACTGGAATTGGAGCTGAGCTTGTGCCCTACACAACTAAGATTGAAGGACAACAACTTGACTTGGAGCTGATGAGTCCTGGAAAAATACAATGTTCCCCTTCCCCAATTCCCCAACATTGTTCCCCTCCCCAATTTCCCCAAAAAATCTTTAAAAAATAAAAATAAAAATGGCTAACATGATAAACTTCACATGTATTTTACCAAAATAAAAGATACATTGCATAAAAGACTATGTTTATATAGACAAAAAGCAGGCAAACACAATCAAATGTTATGCCAATCTAACAAGACAAAGCTACATTTGTCTTTGGGAATTGAATATGTTCATATTAACATTTTATTATATGTACATCTTAGGAACAACTTAAGAATAACGACTCAAATACCAAAATGTATTTTAAATGTTTAATTTAAAAAATGACATTTAATAACTAGGAAGACTTCTAGCATACCAGGTTGACTAAAATTCCACATAAATTTCAAGCTCTCTCTATAAATCCACCGGCTAGTTATCTATCAAATACATGTATGTAACTTACTCTGTGCCAAACTATTCTAAGTTTAATCTTCATAAGAACACTATTAGGTTAGTACTATTGGTATCTTCATTTTACAGGTAAGGAAACTGAGGCACAGAGAGACTAAGAAATGTGCCCATGATTATTCCTTGTAAAGTTATGGAGTGCGGATGGGAGCCCGAGAAATTCAGCTCCACAGTCCATGCTCTTAGCCATCATGCTATGCTCATGCCCACTATGAATGATGCTTCTATTTTTACTTAAATAATTTTTGGATAATAAACATGTATCCTTTTTTGCTATATATTGGCTCTTCAGATTTTTTTCTATGCTACAAATTACAAATGTAAGTCACCTTATAAATTACTTTATATGTGGCTTTTTAGGTAATGCTACAATTAATTTAGTCATAAGATGAAGAAACCATTTGCAAAATGAATTATAACTCTTACCTGATTAGGAGATTAAGAATTTTATATACAGACTTTTTAGAAGGAAAACATCCATTACATACTACCATATTAGATTTTTATAACAAAAACCATTAGGGAATTAAAATGTATTTCATATTATGAAATAATCACCATTTCTATACCACTTTTTTCTCCAAGCTCTTCTTAGGGAAGGAAACTGAGGCACAAGGTTTACTAATTCATTTCCATTCCTAAGAAGACTATAAAAAGTTAAAACTGCACCAAGTATCATGGTAACTCCAGACACCTGATGGTACCCAGAGTGTGGTAGATCCTCCAGAGCCCAAGGAAGGAGTCACAGGTGATCCTGGGGAAAAACAGCGACAGCTGAGGAGCCACATGAAATCATTGCAAGTGACACTCGGTGGCGGCAAGGGCCCAGAGATCAAAGCAACATGCAAACACCAGGGCGGCAGACAGAGCCACAACTGGTGTGGCAAGGCCACCAGCTGAGTCCCGCCGGCCCCCTGCTGGCCCATCACATTTCATTTTGGACTCTGGTGTGGAATGGTTCCCATCAGTAACAGGGCCAGGAGCACGTAGCCAACAGGGCATGTGGCTGTGCGGTGGCAGGAGACCCTCGTGGCGGGAGGAGTGCTATCAGTGGTGCGCAGTGGACTCCCTTAACACAGCAGGCAGGCCTCAGGGGCTTGTTCTCAGGACCCACAGATTTGGGTCCCACCAGCTCCGCTTCAATCCTATTAAATTCAGGTGAAACAGACACGGTACTTGACGCCCTGTGAAACGTATTACCTGTCTACTAATTGCCGCCTCCAGTTCGGGGTAACCTGCTTTGTCCAGAAGAATGTTTGGGAAGAGGTCTTCAATCAAACTCAAAAATAAGGGCTCATCCTCATCAATCTCAAAAAGAAAAGAAAAGCAAATCAGACCAGCTATTTGGGCACAAACAGCAATATACTGAGAAACTGAAAATGCCCGACACAGCCCAGATTATTCTATCATAGCCATTAGGAAATAAAATGTCACCTTTCTTGAAATTAAGGAATGTTCCCATAATGTTTCAAACAAATTAAAAGCTATTTATAAAAAAAAAGAAGGGGAGGAAAGGGAGGGGGAAAAGGGAAGGAAAAAAAGGAAAGAAAATATTGCCTACATGACCTTTCCATAAAATATCCAATTTGGGGGGTTGCCACCTAGTGTACAATTTCTCATTTAAATTAAAATGAATTTTTTAAATGATGGTGGCAAATTCATGAACTGGAATTTGGTTCATATTTTTATTCTGAAGCAAGAAGTATGTCATCCTGTCACCCTGTACATAGAGCCACTGACACGGGACAATTGATTATCAGTCTCTCCCATGAAATGAAAGAGTATGAAATTATTACACACTTGTAAAGTTTACATGCAATTTCCTGTCATGCTCTTCAGGCTTTAAAGAAGGTGAGATTTCAGCTCTAAAACACAAAATTGATTCAAGGTGTTTGGAAACTTAGCATGTGGATTTTTAAAACTCCATTTCAATTCTATTAGAACAGGCCTGTTAGACTACATTGGAGTTACCACAAAAATAACTTCTGAGAAAGTGCAATTTGAAGTTATGCTCTCCAGCACTTTATCAGACAATCAGGCATTTAAAATGAGCATATAAATAAATATTTCTAAATCTCACTGGTGTTTAGTTAGTTGAACAGACATTTAAGTGAGCGCCACATTTCCATCTGTGCCTCTTACCAATTTAGAAAGATTCATGTCTCGCAGGACACGCATGACAATCGTGGACTCCGTGTCTGTGGGGTTGGTTCTTTTGGCTGATCCCAGCGTTCGCAGGACTGACAGAATGTTACGCAGACCGAAGTCATAATGTACCTGACGAAGGTGAGGCACACCGGGCTTAGTTTCAATATTAACTTACACACGGAAACGATACATGTCTGGCAGAAGGCCTATTTGCAATAATGAATACGTGCTGATTTTCCTTTAGAAAACTTGTACAGTTAGTGGACCAAACATTTTTTTATCAATATATTTTTTGAGCAAATAGAGACTACCTAAAAGAGTCCCTTCTTGTACCATCATTAATTTAAGCCCTTAGATCAGAACTAATAGATACAACTTGATAGGGAGAAAGGAATAAATTTCCTCGTGGAGAATACACGTCCACTTGAGCTTCTTCTTAATCAACCATCCATTTTTTAAAAAGCCCTCATATCTCTAAAGCTGAAATTCTGAACCAAAAGTAAACTGAGACCTCTTGCCTGACCATCATACATCTATCTGTACTGATAAGTAAAAGGACAGGAGTATTGAGGAAGAAGAAAAGTAGTTAACATTCCAGGGTAACCTAGAGGACGCAAGAGTGAGGACAAAACAGCAGCCAAGCTCCCAGCTCCGTTATTGCCTTCATTCATGTTTACAAAACTCAATCACACCAAATTTTAGCACATATAAAGTAAATAATTAAAAACCAATTATCCAACCACTATGGAAAACAGAATGGAGGCTCCTCAAAAAATAAAAAATGGAACTACCATATGATTCAGTAATCCCACTTCTGGGTATATATCCAAAAAAATTCAAAGCAGGGCCTCTAAGAGACATCTGTACACCCATGTCCATAGCAACACTACTCACATAGCCAAGAGGTAGAAGTAAGCCAAATGCCCGTCAAGGAGTGAATAAACAAAATGTGGTCTATAGATACAATGGAATGTTATTCAGCCATAAAAAAGTAAGCAAATCCTATCACATGCTACACTGTGGATGAACCCTTAAGACATTATGCTAAGTAACATAAGCCCCTCGTAACAAGACCAGTACGGTATGTTCCACTTATATGAGTTATCTAAAGTAGACAAATGCATTGCAACAGAAAGTAGAATGGTGGTTGCCAGGGGCTGTGCAGAAGCGGAAGACAGGAGTTGTTGTTTAATGGGCACAGAGTTTCAGTTTTGTAAGATCAAAAGTTCTGGTGATCTGTTTCACGGCAATGTGAATATACTTAACACTACTGAACTGTACACTCAAAATGGTTAGGATGGTAAACTTAATGTTATGTTTTTTACCAAAATGAAAAGAAAACCAAAACAATAACCTGCTAAGGTAACTGACAGCTGTGTACATCATTTAATACTAACCATGTGGAGGATGGAGCACACACTAAGAATATTGAGATTGAGTTCCTACCTTCAACAAGTTTAAATTCCGCTAGAAGCAAAATAAAAATATAAGCAAGGTTGCATAAAAGTAACAATGACTAAAAGTACGAGTGGGTGGAATTAATCAAGGGAAACTCATCAGAATTGGACTCAGTTAAATCCATGGGCATGAAGTGAGATTCACGCAACATTAATCAAGAGGTCAGCTTGGGGCCCACTGTTTCATATGCGTTGACTCATTTCGTTTCACACTGACCTTGTGAGTAAGGGCTGTAGGGGTGAGGGAAGTAGAACTGAAATCTAAGAAGAAGAGGCAGGAGTCAGGGATGTGGGAACTTTTTTATATGCAAAAAACAGCATGGAAAAGTATTTCTTTGACAGAGAAAAAGATAAGAATGAGAGAGTAAAAGATGCAAAAAGCAGAAGAAACCAAGAACGGTGGTGGCAAAAAGCAAATAGTTAGGATCAGTCCAACCAGAAAGGCCCAATGGTCAGGGCCAGAAGGCTCTGCGTGTGATTAAACACTCACAAGGAAAGAACTTTCCCCAGTCAAGCAACAGATGAAGCCACAGCCCCAGCCAGAACTTGACTGCAGCCTTGTTAAGACTGTAAGCAGAGGATCCAGCTAAGTTGTACCAAGACTCCTGACCCACCAGAACTGTGGGATAATAAATGTGTATTGTTTTAAGCCAGTAATTTTGTAGTAACATTGTTACACAGCAAAAGATAACTAATACAGAAGTAATACATGGTTAAATCCGTGCCTCTTAACTCTGACGCCCCATAGTATCAGAACCTGCTACTCCAAACAGCAAAGGAAATTAGCAAGGCAGTTACAACAGATAAGACAGACAATTAGTAAAGCTTGGCCAAATACTTGAATGAACTTGGAAGTGAGAAGAGTAAAATGATTGCGAGGTTCCTGAAAACCATGAGGACACGTAACACATATTATGATGAACGTACAAGTGGGATAAAGAGGAAAAATTACTATCCATAATGCTTTGGGTCTTAAATCAGTCCAGATAGTATTCACTTCATTTCTATGCCATAAATATTAATTTCCTTAAATGCACTTCTTAATAAAATATGCATACAAAATTATTTTTGTAATGATACCACAGTCTACTCTATAGCAATAAGGTACTTTGTCAACAGCCCCTGTATACAATTTTTCAAAATGAGGAAATTACACTGAATAGAAAAATGAAACATGCATAAGTACATAGAGACCTTCAGAATGTCACACCTGCTTAGAAAGCTGCTCCTCACATAGCTTGTACAGTGTGAAAAACTTCCTGGCCAAAACAATGTTGTCTATGAAGCCACAGCTAGCCAACTTCACCCTGATGATAATCTGACGGTCGGGGACCATCATGGCCACAGAGCGGAAGTTAATCTTCAAGTTTTCAGGGAGTTCTTGCCGCCCAGCATAGCCAGGATTCTACACAGAAAATAAAACCCAAGAATGAATGATATGATCATGGGGCAACAAGTACCCATCACATCACCATGATATTCAAAGATCCATCATGTACACACCACAAATCTGCAATGACAACCAGAGAATTCATTTTTCCTATCTAACCTCTCTTTTGTCACTGGAGAGATTAAGTCATGAGTTGTTAATATGAGCTCTGTTTAACACCCAAGACTTTCAAACAGGACCGAAAATTACAATCCTAATTTCCATTCACAGACTGTAGGTGACATATGACCAAGGAGATGTATGAAAACTGTGATAAGAAGGCTGGCATTCAGTAGATCTTCCTTACCATGGTAAGAAAAAGTCCAAACTCAGGGTTCATAGTCACATTATCTCCATCAGTAAAAATAAACGATATTTTATGCTCCTTCTTACATGTCAAAATAATGGAAATTTGCTGGGCTGCCACTGAGAGTACTGGTAGATCGATACGGTTAAATTCATCAAAACAACCCCAGGATCCAGACTGTGCCAGGCCTTAGGAAGAAAATTAAATAGAAAATCCAATTAGTATGTAATTTTGGAAAGCCAAAGAAAAGGACATAATGCAGCTGCCAAGACAAAGCAGAGGTAAGTTTGTTCAAAAGTAAAGTTCAACAAATAGATTGTGCATAGAGTGCCCCCAAAAAATAGCTCTCAAAGTGGCACTTTATCTGTAAATACCCAACCTACAGTGATAAAGAAACATGACAAAAGGCAAGTGACACTGACATTTGATCCACGCAACACTGGTAAGGTTCAGATTTTCCAAAAAGTTTTACAAAATTGAAGAACAATGACCCTAAAATGCAGCCAACTGTTGGAAAGTAATTCTTAACACGATATTCCACCTTCATTGAAATTTCTCATCAAATAAAAATATATATATATAACCCTCACCTTTAAAAATCCGTCCAAGCCCTCGAAAATCCATCTGGTCCGAACAATTGAAAACCACAACATATTTCCCAAGACATCGCCCCATATCTTTCGTGGTTTCTGTTTTGCCTGTTCCCGCGGGTCCGGCGGGGGCTCCCCCCATGCTCATTCCCAGAGCTTGAGCCAACGTGATGTAACACCTTGAGGATTAGAGACATCGCTAGAACCATACCAGTGGCATCTAGAAGATACTTCTGGCAGATCACAGTGAGATGAAACCAGCACAAAATTAAGAAACCAATCAGCCAGGCCATTGTCCTGACATAACATTTTGTGGATATTATAATAACAGGTGTTAAGGAAAAAGGAGGGGGGCGGGGATAGTCTCTGGTCAAAGACGTTTGAGAACTCTTTAGAAGGTTAAACAGCCTTTCTGATGATACTGCATATTGAGAGCCTCCAAGTATGAAAAATAGTACATAGAAATTCCAAAACGAATTTTGCAACTTTTTCTCAAAAATCGACCACATCTAAAAAAAAAAAGTAGTATTCTAGGAAACAGACTAGAAACCATTAAAGTTGATGAATCCTTTTTTTAATCTAAGAGTTGATCACTTGACATAGTTGGGAACCAATAGTCACTTGAGATTTTAAACACACATTGCTAAATAATCGCACCTTAAATCTATTTCTGGGAGCATCCACTAAGAAATATATCTTTAGGACATGCCTTTCAGAGACAAGCGCAGGGCGGTCAGGGCACGTTTCCTGTACATGTTACATACACGCACATCGTCTCCCCAGAGCACCCTACATGCGTGTGTGGCCTCACATCCTCCTTTCTCTGCTTTCCTTTCCAATCTCTTTGTTCTTTTCAAAAAACATCACTATTCATGAATGGGATTTGAACTTTTATGTGATGTAGTAGTCTTTTCACAGTTCTATTATAGTTTTCTGCCTCCCCGCCAGACTCCATAAACTCTCTGCTGTTAGAATATGGGTCTGGTTCACACTTGTGACCCCAACTCCTGCCTAACCCCTGGCACCTAGTACTCTGTGAATATTTGTTGAATAAATGGCTTGTGCCAGTCGAACCATATACTCGTATCTGGTCCCACCGGTCCCAATAGCTACTGGAATCACAGATGAAGAATGCAACCATGGCACCAAATGAACAGTGACCCACCCCAGGACCCAGAGCTCGTCAACATGCAATTTAGCCAAATCCATCAGTAATGTTAGTATTAAGTATGCATTCCCATCGCACATAAGCCAGAAGTGCTTTTGGTGCCTGTTCTTAAACAGCATCAATTGTAAAATGCTGGAAAGCGTCCTAAGGAAACAATGATACATGCATCAGGAGGGTATTTTTCTTTGTCAAGAACTTGGTTTAGTTATAAACTCTGATTAAAGTACATGCTTAAGAAGAAACAAAAGGAAAGGTTGGTAAAGATTGTGCTATAGATGGCTGAGAAAAACAAGCCATAGCAACAATAATAATGCCTAACACTGACTCGGTGCCAGGTCTGGTGCTGGGTACCTACTTACACCACCTGTAGCCCACACAGAGAATCCAAAAGAAGGGAATCAGAGGAAGTAGTTGCTTTAGCCAGGACTACACAGCTGGTCAGGGCAGAGACCAGGGGTCAGCACTCAGGTGTAACTCACGAAGTTGGGAGAATACTTCCGAGAAAAACGCGTGTTGTTGGACCTGTCTACACTCCTCATCAAGCAGATAAGATGCCCCATCAGCCTCTGACTCCTGCTGTCCCATCTGAAGTGAAAGCAGTAGTCAGAACGATCCTAGCCTTCTCTATTTGTGCCCACATGTGGAAGGAAGGACGGTCATGAAAAACGCCATGAGCTTTCAGACTAAGGCACTACGTGTTGTTAGTGCATTATAATGACTATTTTGGTATCTGGAATATATGCAAGCCATCCACATGACACCCAGCTTCTGAGAGACTAGCCGCCAACTTTGTTGTATTTTCACCAGGAAGTCAGTAAAAGACACAAAATGTCAATGCCTCTGGCCTTTGATTTTTTTTTTTTTTAAGAATTAATGTTAGTGAGGAGTTCCTTTGTAAAAGCATAGCAAATCTTGTAATGGAATCCCAATGACCAGCAAAAAATGGTGACTCACTTCTCCCATATTCAAGTTAAAGAAAAATAAATAAGTGAACATTTAGGGTG